TCTCTCTCTCTCTCTCTCTCTCTCTCTCTCTCTCTCTCTCTCTCTCTCTCTCTCTCTCTGTCCGTTTTACGTGACCGGGGGCGAGAGTTGATACGTTCCTCGATCAATCAATTTTTGTAATCTAATAGTCGATAGCTCGATGAAAAGTACGATAAAGTACAATGTTGTTCCGTCGTCCAAAGAATTTCGAGAGAAACAGTGTTACCTGCCGGATGATCTGTTCATAGGCTGTGCTTTAAAAAAGTCTTTTAGATAATAATAATAGAAACACGGAAATAATTAAGTAATCGTCTCGAGTGATCGCCGGTTGGTAACACGTTCTAAATACATATTGAACGGCCGGGTGTGTAGAGAGATTAGGTGCTTTTTGTACCTTGAGAGAAACAAGCTGTATCAACCTCCCTCCCGTCTTATCTCCGCGTGACACTCGCCTTTTTGATCCGGCCGCGTGGGAGCAAACGCGTCGCAATGTATCTCCGTACTGTTTTTTTTCTTCGATTTGTCGCTGTAGACACCACCGAATCGAGTTTGGACTGATCATTTTTATTTCGAGTTGTGCGTGCAATTGCCTTCAACAATAGTCTCTTAATGTTTTCTCTATTCTTTATTTTAAGGAAAATACAGTAATGTCTCTCTAATTGACGCGCTCAGATTGTCCAGAAAAAGGGGTAATTTGTGAAGTGAAGATACGATTAATGTTAAGTCTTGCGCCTCGTTTTTATAATCACCGATTCTCAGCAACTATAATAAACGAGGCGCAAGGTTCGAATAATCTGCTTTTCCCAAATTGTCCATTTTTCTGTACACAATCTGAGCGTCAGTTAGGGAGACATTACTGTACTGAAGTTCTCTGCGTTGTTACCGATCCTCTATGCCCTATGTTATTACGCCCTCGTGCTATAGTTCCTGACGAATATAACCGACGACAGAGCGGCGTTCCGCGGTACCGGCTGGTTGCGCGTCGCGGATCGTCGAACACCGAAAGAAAAAACTATTGTAAGCTATTGTTCGATAGCCGGACAACACGCGCGGATCGAGAACGATTCTCCACGAGGCGATCGTGCGATCGAGCGATGTGCAACCGGCTCGAATAACTGCGATCGACACAGCGAATCGTCGTCCAAGTACGCGCCGCGCGGCGATTTACGGCTGGACACATCCCCTAGGATATAGGTTGCGCTAGCAATAACGCTGTTCTAACGATAGTACCGAGGAACGGATATAGATAACAGTTGTTAGATAACGGTATACGTTCAAGGATGCGTCGATCGGCCGATCGAGAAGTGCGCCGACACGTCGACGGTGATTAAAAAAAAAAAGAAAGAAAAATAGAAAAACGCGAGCGTAGGATATTCGTAATTTTGTATGATCTCTTATATACCGGGTGACCGCTCGGGACATCCACCACGAAAACGACTAGATAGCCGAATCGAAGCGTCGCGTGTCGTTCGTCCTCGACCCTTCGCGATCGGTCTCGAGACGACATAGAATGTTTATAGCGAGAGAGCTGTTTTGCGAGTGTAAAAATTGTACGTGTGCCGAGCACGCGGAGCAGGCGTGCGCGCCGTCTCTCCTCTTTGTAAATCCGTCTCGAACGACGCGGAGCGGGGAGAGCGTGCGCCGCGCGCGCTGACTTCGACGCTAGTCTGTGGGAGTTTGTGCAAATTTGTTGGGTTGTTACTTTTGTAAGATTACCGTTGTTATAACACTACGCCCGATCGATTCTTCTCAAAGAAGAAATAAGCTAAAACGATCTGTACTTGTAGATACATTTACTAGTCGCGAGTCGCCCTAATCCGCCCAGCGGACTACATACATTACTCTCGATCGAATCTGCGAAACAAATTTTGAAAAAACCGTGGAGCGAACACGCTCGAAAGCCACCGTGGAACCGCGTCCATCGTCCGGGTAAGTATGTGCTCGCTGTTCTCCAAAGAGAGAGAAGATCAGACACTGGGAGGGACGTGGGTTGTAATCGCACTACGGAAACGACAAATAAAACGAAAGTGGTTCGTTCGACAACAGAATCGAATTTAATAACAAAGTATCAACGCTCGTAGTAATTAACAACTGGGCCACGGATCTCTTATGCAACTTCGAATTCCTCTCGCAAGCTCCCTAGTTAGGTTTCTCCCTATTTATATACGTGGAACGACGGTTTTTTTTTTCTCTTACACGTGTAACATAAAGTTCCATAAAGATCCGCGGCCCGCCAATAAAGGAACTCATTGTAATTGCAACCGCGACAATAATCAACGAACCGTATTCGAAGGTGCTGTCCTCTTTTTTTTTTCTCGGTCGACGCTTCGACTACCGGAGGACGCGACTCTCGACGATCTTTCGTGATATTATATTTGCAGCCGCGAAGAAAGTGATCCTCGCGGAGATCGTCGAGACTTCCGGTCGCCGAAGCGACGACCTCCGTTCTCGCGTTTTACAAGAGATCGTGACCAAGGATCGACGGATCGACGAAGAATGGGGGTGCAGGTGAATCGCGAACGTCTTCCGCCACGGAGCAGGAAGGGAGAACGCAATCGAGTAAGTATAATTAAAAATGTAGACACGATGAAAATTGCAAAATAAAGAGAATTCCAGCCAGAGAGATTTTCCAAAGCCTGATTTTCATTTCACCCGAAATCATCGAAATTGGAACGACGAACGACGCTGACTCGTAGGAAAAATGGTCGCCGGAAGTGTGAGAACGGAGACGTGTGTATTTCCTTGTTTTATTTCTCTGAACATTAGGACAAAATTGTAATCAATCGCTTATCCGTTTACCGTAAATCCAATAATGTCTGTAATAATGAATTAGCGTTATATTAAATGTACCGATGAGAGATTTTTTTTTTGTTTATTCTTTTAATAATCGCACACTTTCTCTCACTCGATCTCTCTCTCTCGTCTCTCGCAAGCTCGCGCATTCTCTCTCTCTCTCTCTCTCTCTCTCGCGCATGCTCTCTCTCACTCTCTCTCTTTCGCACACGGTCTTTCTCTCAGGCAAACACGCACGCGTTCCTTTTCACGGTCTCTACAGAATCGGCAAAATCGACGGCGATGGATCCCCGGATCGAGGGATCCAGGATCTCGGGCGGAGATCCCCGTCGTTTCGGACCTCGACACCCGCTGAAAAAACCGGACATCGGAAATCGGGGCCGATGAGAGCTACGCTACGTTAACGCGTCGAGCGTCTCGTCGATGACGCCGATTTTTAAGCTTCTTTTTATTAACGAATATTAACAACGGAATTTATGCGAAAAGCGTACAATCGAGAGGACCACGGAATTTGAGGTTTATCCGTTCAGAATATCTTGCTAAGTATCGATAAAAATTACCATTAAATTATTAGATAAAAGACTCGATACAATTAAACGAATGATCTTCAAAAAATGCGAGAGATCGCCGCACTTTGACCGGCGATCAACCTTCGATTTATCATCGATCGAATTGCTTTGGTTTCATGCAAGTTCTCGGGATCGATTCTCGTCGCTCGACGCGTTAAGGGCCGCGTGGATCGCGGATCCACGCGTATCGTTCGATCGCGTCGACCGAGAAGTTCGTGCAGCAGCGATCTTGATCGCGATCGATAAACGACTAGATATCGTCCAAGGCCGCGGACGCTGCTCGCCGGATCGAACTTCGAAGATGGAGGATCGAGGACGTCTCGTAACGATTCCCTATCGTTATCGCGAACACGCGCGCGACACTCGCTCTGCTCGGCAAGAGGAGTCGCGACGACATTGACGACGACGACGACGACGAGTTCTGTTAT